AGAGAGTTGATAAGGATGACTCACCGGATCTGTTCTTGGGCAACTGGGTGGATGTGGTGCTGTGCTCAGAGAAGAGACTGGAAGCTTTGGGGAATGAGGTAATGAGTTCCGAGATTCAAGGGTTGGGCAACCTGCTTGAGAAAAATTGAGTGACCGAAGATTGTGGTTCTGTGTGCAGATTGAGAAATGTAGAGGCTTCACATACAGTCAGAGCACACTGGGGTGGAACCTTGTTTCCACAGAAATGCTGATTTTGTGGACAAGGGAGACAGAGGGTACCTGGGTCATGCCTACTGCTTCCCTGCCTCACACCCGGGAGTTCATTTCACAGCAACGATCTGAGTGACGCACGTGGGTTTTCTCTGTAACTTTTACAGAGTTCAGCGGGGATTGATTTGAGGTGTCCTTATTAATTAATAAAGGGATACAGGTTTCATTCCAGCATGCTTTTTTTTCCCCCCGTCATGACTGAAATAAACAGATTTTTTTCTAAGGATTTTAGTAAACAGAGGGGGGGGGGTTGCTTTTCTTTTGTTTTTTTTTTTCTTGGAAGTCCCTTTTTCCAGAATGACCTTGCCCTGTGCCCATCCCCTAAAGCTGGGAATTTCTGTGGGGCAAAGAAGGCACTGAAGTGTTGAGAGAACTTAAGGCAAGTGCTTTCCATCTCCAGTGAGAATGGCTGAGGAGCAGGCTTATGTAGGAGAGAGAAGAATTTCACATTGACATTTTAAAAAGCCTTTCTTTTTTTCCTTTTTTTAAAAAAATAAATTTATTTATTTATTTTTAGCTGCGTTGGGTCTCCGTTGCGGTGTGCAGGCTTCTCATTGCAGTGGCTTCTCTTGTTCTGGAGCACGGGCTCTAGGCGCGTGGGCTTCGGTAGTTGTGGCACACGGGCTCTAGAGCGCAGGCTCAGTAGTTGTGGCGCACGGGCTTAGTTGCTTCACGGCCTGTGGAATCTTCCCGGACCAGGGCTCAAACCCGTATCCCCTGCATTGGCTGGTGGATTCTTAACCACTGCGCCACCAGGGAAGTCCAAAAAAGGCTTTCTTAAGGGGGCAGATTCGGAAGGCAGGCTGTGGAACTGCATTCTGGAAAGATCAGAGGGAATAAGAGAGATGGCCTTCAGTCTGTGGAGCTTTACGTGAGGCCTCCAGGGTTCCTTAGCAGGCAGTGCCTGGAGACACATTAAAAGAAAGTTGTATTTCTGGGTCTTTGTTTATATTTCCTCCTATCAGACCCCAGGCGCAAACAGAACAGAACCCCTTTTTTCTCAAATATCCTTGTGCTCTTTAACTAAAGGACAAAGGGGGCCAAAGTTAGGACGTCATTTCATTTCAACAGCTTGAGAATCAAGAGGTTGAGATTCTAGCCCCAGTTCAGTTTCAGACCCTCAGTAACCTTGGGCAAGTCACTTAACTTTGGGGGCAGGACCCTTGGTTTTCTCATCTGTAAGATGGGTGCAAACAGTGCATGAAGCCTTGGGAATCGCACGTGATCATGCATTTAAAGTTATCACAGTCGTGGCACATAGTGAGCACTCTTTAAAAGTCATCAGTGGGGCTTCCCTGGTGGCGCAGGGGTTGGGAGTCCGCCTGCCGATGCAGGGGACACGGGTTCGTGCCCCGATCTGGGAGCTGCAAAGAATTTTTTCCCAAATTTGAGAATGCTTAAAGAATCCTCCTTACCATTTCGCTGCTTCACCAAATACAAACAAACCAAACCTAGAAAAATCCTATAAAGATCAGAGTTGAATGACAACAAAATGCTGAAAACCACACAGCAGCTTAACAACTGTGTACCAAAATGCTACCCAAAGGGCTGGTCCTGGTGAAATAAGGAGCTTATGCCAGAACATAAACTAAATGCACCACCACTTCTTTCGTTGACAGTCTTGCTACCAAAAAAAAAAAAAAAAAAAGTCATCAGTGGCTATTACTGATAATGACCTCCCTACCTCCCTTGCTGAAAGAATAAATTATGTACTCCTTGGTGTTCGAAGTCCCTTAAAAGCAAAAGGTACTATGTAAAAGCTGTGATGCTATCAATTACTATTATTAATAATAGGCTGATAATTACTTTGGCCATGGTATTAAATGAAAACCCCTTTGGGTGGGTGATGACTGGGAAAATGGGAACTATTATTAATGGAGCTGCAAGCTCTTGTTACTAGATCCATTGACATAATATTTCTCTCTGAGAATCCTTTGACAAATCAGCTGAATTTCCTATTCCCTTGCCCTAAGTGCTGTAAATTCGATCCACACGTCCCCAGCGTTGTTTCTGTGGACTAATAATGAAGAGAAGAGGAAGAGCAGGGCCTGAGTTAGACCCATAGATGCGTGGAAGCCCTCCCAAATATTTGGGCTGCCCGTGGGTTTGAGCTTGTAGTTCGGGGTGGGGATGGGAGGGTGGTCTTTTGATTCACTACTTGTTTTAATGCTCAGAGCCAGGTCTTCCTCATGCGTTTGGGTCCTCAGCTGTCAGGGAGAGGTTCTGCTTTGGGGACAGGGCTGGGGGCAGGGGGAACCTAGTCATGCCCTCCTCCTTCCACTGGAAACAGAGCTTTGAGGAAGTGCTTTGATGCCCTGCTTTGCTGAACCAGCACCCAGATCGGGAATCCATTGCCGCTGCCATCCTGGAGGGGTCGGAGGGAGATTCAGAGCGGCAGGTCCCAGCCACACAGCAGGGCAGTGAGGCAGTGCTGGGGAGGGCAGGGAGGCTGGGTCAGGGGAGGAGCAGGCTAGGAGGGCAGGGCTGACTGGCAGCCGAACCTAGAGCGTGGCCAAAGAACGCTGCCGGGATCTGGGTAGGAGGAAGGCTGCGATGTGCGTTTGCCCCATAAAAGAGCACACGAGGCCCAGCACTGGGGCTTCCATGGGTGAACCAAGCAGGAATAACACTGAATTGGGACAGCCGTAGGTGAGCTTGGTGGTGTGTTCATTGAATCTGGGCTTACAGAGAGGTGAAGCGTATACATTCTAGAGCCAGTCAGACCTGGATTTGAATCCTAGCTCTGCCACTTGGAAGAGCAAGTTATTCAGACTCTCTGCACATTATCTAAAATGGAGACAGCAGTGCCCACCTTGTTGAAAGAATAAATGAGATAGTGTACCTAAAGCCTGCGTTCCCAGCACATAGGAAAAATAATAGCAAGATCATCCAAAGAGCACTTACTCTGAGCCACGCAGCAGTCCACACGTGGACATCTGGCAACTCACGGCCACACCGTGACTTTTGTTACCTCTAGTTAACACATGAGGAATCTGAGGCACAGAGAAGTGAAGTAACTTGCCCAAGGTAACACCGCTGGTTTAAGTGACAGAGCTAGAATCATGAACCCAAATGTTCCAGCTCCAAGGCCCTGTGTTAACCTCTCTGCTGCAGGACCTATGGCTGTTGTCATCCTTGTGACGTTTCTGGGTACAGGATAGGGAAGTCTAGCCTGGATTTGGCCACATCCCAGGGGCTCTTCTGTTATCTCAAGGAATTTTAAGAGATTTTCCCAAAAGTGACTAAAATAAATTCCTGTGGGCATTTTGCTTTCCAAAAAAAAAACGAAAAAGTTCAAGGGGGTTGGACAAAGAAGCCTTGATCAAAGAAGAGGCAGTTACCAAAAATTGGGAATCTTTGTGGCCACATGCTCTTAAGAACCAACATGTAATTTTAAGCCAGTCTGATTTTGCTTTTCTGGTGCTTTCTAAGAAGCCACACAGTGAGTTGGAGAAATTTACAGGCTGTCACCCCCTGGGATTGATTCTGACAGCTCTGCTCCTCTATTGTTGAAGTGCTAATGAAAAACGCTAATTGGCCTTGGCCAGTGGCTGGATGAGTCCCCTTCCTGGAGTGGGGAAAGCAGCATCCTTTTCTCTCTGGTTTCTCCTAGTCCTATTCTTGGCTTGAAGAAGGAAGGGGGGGCAGCATGAGGAAGTGGGAGGACTCCAAGGGCGATGCCGCCCTTTGGGTGGGCACGGTGAACAGTTTGCATCTGATGCCCCACCCACTGAGCTCCGTGAAGACAAAGCCAAGTCTCTTTGTCACCCCGGAATCCTAAAGGCAGCGGAATACCTGGGCCGAGTGAGGCACTCTGGATATTCAGCAAGTGAAGCAGGGAAGGGATGAATGAATGCTTATATGGCCCACCAGCCTCTGGAGGCCAGTTCCTTGTGCAGCTCCAAGAAAGGATGGTCTCCACTTGCTTTAAAGCACGTCTACAGGCCGTCCTCATCCTGGCTCTTGCAGCACCGTCCACAGTGAAAAGTCAGCTGTCCTAAGTGGAGCCTTGCAATTTGCCCACCACCCGCACTCGACCAGACAGGGAGCAGAGCTGTGGCCTTTGAGCTTTGCTTCCATCCTCAGGTGACTTGTTGATAAAAGACATTTTCACATATTGACATATAGGGAAGTCATTCTGGCTTATACATGAGTTAACTTGAATTTTATGCTAACTAAAATAGCCTTTTTGTGGCCTATCAAACATACATTGTACGTCGGCTTTAATTATTATAGAAAAGGGCACATTGACCAGAAGTAAATAACGTCTAGGTTAAAAATAAAGATTAAGTGCCCCCCTTCCTGGGATGCCAGTGCTGGTCCTCTTTGGATGATAAGACTCCCTTCCCACACTTTGTTATAAAGCAGAAACTAACACACCATTGTAAAGCAATTATACTCCAATAAAGATGTTTAAAAAAAAAAAAAAAGACTCCCTTCCCAGGTGCTAAGGCACACCGACTTGCTATGTACGTGCTGGTCTGTTCTTTTTTTTTTTTTTTTTCTAACCTTGAAGAAATGTAACCCAGACTTGTTTAATATTCTTTGTTCTGACAAGATATAAAACTGTGCTGAAAGCCCTGCTTCTCCAGAGAGGTTTCTCCGAGTAACCTAGACAGTGGGCTTCTGGGCTAGTCCTCAGTTTGGCTCAAATAAAACTCTTTGCTATTCTTACTATTGATTGTTTATTGATTATTTTCATTGACACTGTCCACCGTGTTTCCCCACAGGTGTCCTCTCCCTCCCTGCGTACTTCAGTCCCTACAACGGCGGGTCCCTAGGCCACGACGAGCGCGCCGACGCCTACGCGCAGCTGGAGCTCCGGACCCTGGAGCAGTCCCTTCTGGCCACCTGCGTGGGGAGCATCTCGGAGCTGAGTAAGTGGGGCACCCACCATCCACTGGCTCCAAGGGAGAGGCGGGGAAGAACCCACCTTCCGGGTCCTGGCTTCCTCCTCCTCCTCCGTGCTTCTTGCCTTCTCTGAAAGCCAGAGGTTGTAAACTGGTGGCCGACAGACATGTGTGCTTTAGTTGGCAGGTGCATTTAATCACATCCAAATTTGGATCTCGTTTCTCTAGAGAAATCAGATGATCTGGCACTGCTGTGCCCCATTCCTGCATGGCAGCGATCAGGGGGAGCTGAATGGCAGCTAAGGGGACAGAAGGCATTCCCTACATTGCCACGTGCCTCGGTCTCTCGTAGCTGGCCTGTCTCATTTATTTATTTTACCTGCCTGGCCCCAAGGGCTCTGAATTTACAACCAGTATTTGAAAGAAAGCACCTCCCGAAACCTCATCACAGAAAAAGAAAGAAAAACGCTGAGCTTCTCTGGCTGAAGGAGGACCTGATCATTGGCCTCAGCCCTGCGGTGCCCTGGGCATCTCCCAGGACCTCAGGGCTCTCTGGAACACAGCAGGAAACCCCTGGGTCTAGGTCATTACTGTTTGGCAGCTGTTTCAGAAGATCGTGTTAGGAGGCATGAGATCCCCGTGTCTCCCGATCTCTCCCTCTCATTATCCCAATTATTTGAAAAATCAAACTGCATGCCCCTCCCGGGGTCATGAGACCACCCAGCGGAGGGCGGGGACACATGCCAAGGGTCGTATAGCACACAGTGTGGAAACAGATGGAGTTTCACTCCCCTCCAGCCTTTTCCACTTGTGATTTCTTTGAGGTTTCTGGCCCCTGAATAGTGAATGGCAAGCCGTTCTGTTTCTTTAGGGCACAGCTTCCTCCCTTCCCCCCACCCCCTTCCTTCCCTTCCCAGGACAGGAAGTGAAGGTGCCTGATTCAGGGTCACAGAGCAGATTGGTAATAAGGCTGGGACAGAAAGCAGGACTTTGAGCTCTCTGTCTCCTCAGGGCATTCCAGCATGGCCACCTGGGTCCCCTGCCTCTTGAGGACCCTGCAGGAAGTGGGCTTGGGTGTATGGCTTGATCCCCACCCCTGAGGAATGTCTCCTGGACGGTGGGCTGTCTTTGGGGCTATGCACAGCCTGTTTGGTGAACTCTCTTGGCCTGAGAACAGTGAGGGACACACTTAGGCCTCAGTCTACTGGAGAACACCTTGATTTTGTTTTGCATTTTGAACATTGAGCACTTACTATGTGCAAGACACTGTATGAAGTGCCTTCATCACACGATCTCATTTACTGTGCAAAACGACTTAGCAAGGTAGTCCTGATGAGGGAACCGAAGCTTAGAGAAGAAAAGTCATTTTCCCCAAGTCAGGTTGCAAATAAGAATCAGAAAGGGGCTTGACTCCTGCTGTGTCTGACTTTAGCAAAGCTCTAAATTACTTAGGGCTATGGGCTTCCTAGACGTGACTAGCAGACCAGCCACCAGCATCTCAGGGCAGCTGAGGTCAAGATCGGAATCTGGGGACTTCGCTGCTGGCACAGTGGTTAAGAATCCGCCTACCAGGGGCTTCCCTGGTGGCGCAGTGGTTGAGAATCTGCCTGCCAATGCAGGGGACACGGGTTCGAGCCCTGGTCTGGGAGGATCCCACATGCCGCGGAGCAACTGGGCCCTTGAGCCACAACTACTGAGCCTGCGCGTCTGGAGCTTGTGCTCTGCAGCAAGAGAGGCCGCGACAGAGGCCCGCGCACCACGATGAAGAGTGGCCCCCGCTCGCCGCAACTAGAGAAAGCCCACGCAGAGAAATGAAGACCCAACACAGCCAAAAATAAAAAAATAAATAAGTAAAATAAAATAAAAAAAAAGAATCCGCTTACCAATACAGGGTACACGGGCTCGAGCCCTGGTCCAGGAAGATCCCACATGCCGCAGAGCAACTAAGCCCGTGCGCCACAACTACTGAGCATGCGCTCTAGAGCCCGCGAGCCACAACTATTGAGCCCGTGCACCACAACTACTGAAGCCCGTGCGCCTAGAGCCCGTGCTCTGCAACAAGAGAAGCAACCACAATGAGAAGCCCGTGCACTGCAACGAAGAGTAGCCCTCGCTCGCCGCGGCTAGAGAAAGCCCGTGTGCAGCAACGAAGACCCATTGCAGCCATACATACATACATACATAAGATCGGAATCTGATCTTGACTTTTATCATAGAGCCTTTTGTTGTAGTGGTCTCTGTGCCCATTACAATCCACAGTCAGGCGCAAGGCAAGCATTCAGAAACTTCCCTCAGGGGAAGGGCTTGTCCATACCATTCAGCCCAGGGACGAGGTCCAATCAGTTCTACCTTCTAAAACTATCCCAAGTTTAAGTTTGCCCCTCTCACCACTTCCAGGGCTACCAACTCGGGCCAAACCAGGGATATTTAAATCCCAAATTGTATTATGTCACTCATCTGCTCAGTATCCTCTCAGTTACCCCCACGGCTTCCCAACACACTCAGTGAAGTCCAGGACTGGACATACGATCTGCCTTCCTCGTCTTCTGTTCTTCTCTTGTTGACTGTGCTCCAGCCACCCTGGCCTCCTGGCCTCCTGGCTTCCTAAGATCCTCCCACCCCAGGGCCTTCGAACTAGCTGTTCCCCTGCCTGTGACCTTTTCCTCCAGTTGTCCAAATATGGCACGTTCTTAGTCTCTGCCCAATAACACTTACTAGACAGGCCTTCCCTGAGCACCCTGCAGAGGTTAAGGGTCCCACCCTCGTTCTCTGTCTCCCATCTTACGGCTTTGGTTTATTCAAGGCACTAATGGACACTTGGCATTTATTATATATTTACTTGTGAATAGTTGGTCATCTTTCTCATGTGATTAGAACTTCAGCTTCATGAGAATGGGGACTTTCTCTGGTGTATCCCCTGGTGTACATATCGCTAGTGATGAGAACAGAAGCTGAGCTGTGTATTGGTGTGTGTGTGTGTGTGTGTGTGTGTGTGTGTGTGTGTGTGTGTGAAGAATGAGTTCTCTATCGTCCAGTTTTTGCCTCCTAAAACCCTCCTAGGATTGGTCCCCATCCTGGCTCAGCCACTCCTCAGACCAAAGGGAAGGAGGATCCCCAGAGCATCTTTCACCGACAGCCAAGCAGGCTGTGTCATGTGCCAAGATGCCCGAGCTCCCTTGCTCTGAAACCAGGGTTTTTGCTAATCATTGTGAAGGAGGGAGGAGGTGAAGGTGGAAGCAGATATTGCAGTTTTTCTCTTCAAGACTAAAGAGCTTAACGAGGCTAGTGATACTTGGCGCTGAGCGCCTCATACCTTAGAGTTTAGCCCGGCTTTAACGTCCGCTCTCTCCCTGCACCTGGCCAGGACCAGCCTGCCAGGTAGGCCAAGAAGTCTCATTCTTGTATCAGGTCCATCTGCATAGGGAGCTCGGGCCCTTGTATTTTCCTCTGTCCCTCTCTACCTATGAGAAGGTAAATGGAAGGGAATAAGAAGTAAACAAAACGCTTCTTTTCAAAGGGAGCCAGATGGTATGGGCCTCATTCTGGAGACAGTGCTGAATCCTAGGCCTTCCCACTCTCTTTTTATTCGATGCCTCCTGATGCAGGTTGGACAGACCAGAGGGAGGCCGTAGCACCTCTGCTCAGGGCTCTCATGATTAACAAGCAGGGAGGGCTTGTTTCCGCATACTTGTGGGTGTTTCTGGGCTTCAGACTGAGGTCTCATCAAGCTTAGGGTCAATTGATTCTCAAGTACAAGGATGTCTCAGAAGCAGCTCTGAGGAGTGCCCAGCTGTACCAAAGCGAGAGCACAGCCCCGCTGGGCCACAGCTTCTGAAACTCACTGTGGTAGCAGGTCAGGGATGGTATCCCCCCAGCTTTGTTGCAAACTGAAACTTTTATAAAATACAATAAAAAGGAACGTTTAGAAATATGAAATAAAGCACAGGTAAGATGCAAGCCATTTTATCTTATTAATTAGATTAAACAGGCATAAAATCACTCTGTTGGATTGCTCTGGAAGTTTTTTCAAGCTCACTCTCAGTTTCTGAAATGAACTTCTGAACCAGTAACCGGTTTGCACACCTGTCCCAGTTCACAGACCTGTCCCAGTTTGCAGACCACACTTCAAGCAGCAGTGTCACAACGGTCGAGAACATGCATTTGGGACACAGGGACCCCAGTTCAAGTCCTGCTTGTGCCACTGGACAAATCACTTAACTTGTGTAGCCTGTGTCCTCGTCTGTAAAATGGAGATGCCTCCCTTCTGGGGTGGCTGTAAAGAGATTTTTTTTAGAGAGTTTGTCTTATCTTTTCATGTCTGTCTTGAAGCCTAGAAAATAGAAGGTGGCAGGGAGGAAAATCCCTCTGGGAGAACATCCAAAACAAGTGGCTGTCTTTGCCTGTAACCTGGACTTGCAGCGCAGCTTAAGTTTTTTAGATGCCTGATCACAGTTGTCTGCAGGCATCTGTCTCTTTGGTCTCTGAGAGACACTGAAGCCCGAAGCTGGGCCTGGAGCAAAGTGTCCGGGGACTCCATCTCCAGTCACCATTCTGCTGCCTTCATGGTTTCCCGAACCTTCGGAAGGCCTCTCTGTTCCTGGCTTCCCTTTTAGGGAGCTGTCAGGAGGTATTCCTATTCCTTCCTTGATTTTCTTGCCTGCATCCTGGCTGGAAATGTGCTGCCAAGGGTTCTACACCAGGAACAACGAAACCATCTTAAACGTAATTAATGGTAATGACTTCTACCTTGTCGAGTCTTTGAAATGATATTTCAACAAGATTTCTTCGATGCTATCGGGGACTCTGAATTCTCCTCCTTGTGGTCCTGTGGTCATGCCAACACTTACGACATTCAGACCTGGAGAAACGGGAGCCAGATTTGAACTTATTGCGGCCAACTTAGCTCTACAGCTAGCTGCTGGGAGACGGCTTGGCCTGGGGTTGTTGATGCCAGTTTCTACTACCCAGGAGCCCAAGGGCAGGGCTGGACTCCTCCTGTCCTGGGAAATGCGGGGCAGTGCTTGACTGCAGGCAGAGGTCCTGGAAGGAAGAGTACCACGAGGTGGCCTGTAGGATAGAGGATTAATAACAAAAGACAGTAACAATAATGGCGATATATTTAACTTTACCAAGCACTTACTCTGTGCCAAGCATAATGTTAAGTGCTTTACGTTTGTTATTTATTTGAATCCTCAGGATTTTTAGCTAGGTTAGAAACGATTATTTCCATTTTACAGATAAGGAAACCAAGGCTTTGTTAAGTAACTTACTACGTAAGGCACACAGGATAGAAATAGCAGAGCCCTGACTGGAAGCCAGGCAAGTCTGAATCCAGAATCTATGCGCTCATCCGCTTACCTGGTGATTCTCAAACCCGACTGGAGGTTAGATTCACTGAGGGAACTTTTACAAAATACGGGTGCCTGGGTCCTGCCCCAGACCGATTAAATTAGAGTTTGGGGGATGGGAACCAGGCATCAGGAACTCAGTGCCCTCAGCCCTCTTGGTCCTGGGGACTGGCAGGAGGCACCCAGGCAGCTGAGCTACAACTGCGGGATGAGCAGAGTCCGCCTTGTGGAGAGGAGTGAGGACCTGGGGGTGGCACGGGGGGCTCTTTCCCAGTGGAGATCTCCAGTTCCAGGGCTGTCATTGTCCCTGCTTGGAAACAAGCGTTGCCGCTGTGGCAGTCATGGGAGAACTTGGCAGCTAACGAGCTCACGTCAGGCCCCACCAGAAGTCGTATCTTAAATGAAATGAATGTGTAAGGGCTACTTTTTCATCCTCCGCGTGTTTGCCGAGCGCCCGTAGAAGCTGTGCAGGGCTCCGGGGACACACGGTATAGAGTCCCAGACCCAGAGGCTCTGTGGGGGAGGTTAACAGAATAAGTGAATGAATTGGTCCTGTCGAACGTTGAACAACGCTTCACCTGCCACATTAAAACCTGCTCGTTTCTCCCTCCTTGAGCTCAGCCTCATTCAGAGGCTTTCTCTCCAAGGGGTTATCTGTAAGGGGCAAGCTGACCCACAGGGGACGCCCCCCTGAGTTCTCAGGCCTGAGAAGAATGGAAGGCGCCACTTTTCCTAGAAAGAGGGGCCCGCAGGTGCCTGGGGCCATTTCACCCATCCTTTCTCAGCATTGTGGCCTCACACAATGATGGGACGTTTCCTGTCCTGGGCTGGTGGGGAATTAAAAAGACTCAACTGGGGAAGAAACACAGCACAGGATATGGGGACCTGAGGACCCTGCAGACTTCATTAGTGCAGGCCACGGCCTGGGTCCCAGTTCAGTTCACGGACTTTGGAGTCACACAGGCCCGGATTCAAATCTAGACTCTACCGTTTACTGGGCACCGCGGCATCCCTGTGACCAGGGAAATGCATGGTGTCAGTAAATGTTTGCTTACTGGATAAGCCTCAGTTTCTTCGTCTGCAGAATGGGGATCCTACTCGGGCCCCAGCCTTGTAAGGATCAAATTAAATTCTATTTCTAGAAAATTGAACACTCAGCACATAATAAGCATAATGGATGGTGGTGGGAGTTTTCCTTGAGGCCGTGGAGAGGGAGGTTCCTTTTCTGCAGAAGTACCTGGACTTTGCACCAGACAGCACGGGGGAGAATCACCACGCAGCCTAGCACAGGAATTGGAGGTTGGGATGGGAAAAGAAGCCCAGGGAGATTCCTGTGGTGAGAGCTGGGGGAAGGGCCGTGGGGTGATGGAGGGAGTGGGGATGTTGGGAAAGAAACCGTATTAGCGTAAGTTCTGGTGGGTCCGGGCCCCTACCAAGCGTTTCGTTCAACTGTTAAGGCAGGACTGGAAGTGAAAGGGAATCTAAATTGCTATCGTGTGTCTGGGTGACAGTTTCCACCTCCACCTGCTGCCTCTGGGTAAATAGTAATTAGGCATGCCAGCTTAGCTGCTCCTCTAGCTAGCAGGATCCTTGGGAGAACGTGGGCTGTGAACTCAGACTTTTCCTTTTTCTCTCCCTCTCGCCTGCCCTCGTCACCAGGCGACCTGGTCTCCCGCGCCATGCACCACATGCAAGGGCGCCGCCCGCTGGGTCCTGGCTCCAGCCCCGCCCGCCAGGCCCGCCAGCCACCCCAGCCCATCACCTGGTCCCCTGACGCCCTCCACACGCTCTACTACTTCCTGCGGTGTCCACAGATGGAGTCCATGGAGAACCCCAACCTGGACCCCCCGAGGATGGCCCTGAACAACGAACGGTAGGGAGCTGCCTTGGGCCGCACACCTGGTGGGCCGTGCGCGCCAGTGTGTGTTGACTGACCGAGTGACCGATGCGGTGGGAAAAGCGCCCTGGCCCCGGCCTGCGTGCCTGTGAGGAGGCGGCCTGACACGGGCGATGGCTGCGAATTCAGACGGATGAAGGCCTGTCCCTGGGGTGCAGCAGGATTTGTTCACCCCGGGCTGTTGTAGGGTGGGGTCTTTGAGTCTCAGAAGGTGGGCTTTGGCCTCTGTCTCACAGCTCTAGCATTTGCTACCTGGGCTCTTGGAACTTCAGTTGCCTCTTTTATAAAATGAGGTATTCGCACCTACCTAGAAAGGTGGTAGTAAGAATCGAGTGAGCTAGTGCTCTCAGAAAAAGCGCTTAGGACAATGTCTGGGTGGTAACTGGCCCTCCATCAGTGGTGGCTGTCACCTCTTGTGATGATGACGATATCACCGTTATCATCATTCTTTTTTTTTTTTTTGCGGTACGCGGGCCTCTCACTGTTGGGGCCTCTCCCGTTGGGGAGCACAGGCTCCGGACGCGCAGGCTCAGCGGCCATGGCTCACGGGCCCAGCTGCTCCGCGGCATGTGGGATCTTCCCAGACTGGGGCACGAACCCGTGTCCCCTGCATCGGCAGGCGGA